TATAACAAATAAACAAAAGACATAAATGAAAATGTGCTAATCATAAAAAAAGCGACGACACTCTACTTTAGATGTCATAGAGCCCAACTTTTAGGTGAAGGCTAATCCAATTCTTACGTTTCCACTTGACGTGATACTGACGTATATGCGACTCTCTTTTCAAACTGAGCTCGAGTTGTCAATCGCTCTGATGGACACTGCTCAACGAGCTGCTGTCAAAAGGAACACTCGTGCCACTGATTAAGGGACACATAAGGAGCACGTAGTCTTAATACATTTCTGACTTCATACGTTCAGCTGTAATTAGCTTCATCCTGACACGCATCCTGCATTGTGTATCCTTCTAGACAAATCTGCAAAGAGTTCACGGACCTGCTCTCGCAAGACCGCTCGCCCTTGGGGAATTCACGCCCACAGCCCATTCTTGAGCCCGGGATTCAGAGCTGTTTGACCCACTTCAGTCTTATTTCTCATGGATTCGGGACTCCGGCCATGTGCGCGGCCCTCACGGCGCTGCAGAACTATTTGACGGAGGCCATTAAAGCCATGGACAAAATGTACCTGAACAACAATCCTAATAGCCACAATGAGACGGGGTCGAAGGCGGGTGACAAAGACGAGAAGCACAGAAAGTGATGTCAAGCCAACACATCCCAATTGATGTATGACAAAATACATATATAACAAACACTAGTGATCAAGATGAAACACTGAAAGCACCACCTCCCGTTCTTGATATTTTGAAACTTAAAAAAAAGTAATAATACTAATAAAATAGTTCACTTTGGGATTCGTGGACAAAGCATTTCTTTAAATCAAAATAAAGCAGTGTGCCAATGAAAGGAGTATAGATCGGGTTAATCTGCCACAGCAGGACTTTTCATGAACTCCCTTTGTATGAGTTCAATGGACTGAAATTCAGCGATTTCCCCTCACTATCCCCATTTACGATTGTAGCCATGTGACAACAAGAAGCTGAAAGAGGAAGATTTTTTATCAGTATTGTGAATAAACTAGAAAGTAAAAAATTCTACAGCTCCACAACATGACTTCAATAACTGACTTTTTACTCGACCAAGCGACCAACTTGAACTTTGAATTTCAACACGATTCACAGTTATATGAGGGAATCTGTGTTCATGTATGTATATATTTATTTATGTGTAATTTAATGGGAATTGTAAATAAGGTACGTCTGTTCAAACTTCTTTTTTATTTATCTGGTGCCTCCTGTTTTAGTGGGTTTGAATATTCGCTTAGTTCTTCATGTGGTTTTATGGTTCTTAGAAAACAGAAGTTTGGGGTATTCTTCTCTGGGATATTTCAATTCAGCCCTCTTGTAGCATGTTGAGGCGACACTGAAGCAAGTGAACAAATTTAAAAGAAATAAACATCAATTTCTCTATTATTATTAATATTATTATTATGCCATTCAGTTTTAGATCGAAAAAGGTCATTGCAGAGACTCCGACGATGCTAGTTTTGTGTTTCTATCTTCTTGTTTTTATACGAGCTTTTTATGTGTTGTGCCAATCACCTCTTGTTCTTCCCTCAAAGCACCACAAGAGCAATAAAT